AGTATATCGATTGATTTGTATTTAATTTTGAATATTTTCTTTTATTGTAGATTAGACCATGTAAGAGCTATAGAAATGCTCATTTGTTTCATTGTAAAGACACCACGAAATTTGAAAGTAATAGAAAGAGTTTTCTCTAAATTAGGTGGATTCCTTTACTTAGTAAACGTTTGTTCTTATGTCTTGTTGAGCGAGTCATCAAGGCTTAGAGCTTGTATTGTATCAGAGTCTTATCACAACTCTGTGGTGCACTTCATCCCGCCATCATTTTCCCTCATTTGATCCCACACGAGAGAAGCGACTACCATCGTGTCAGATTTCCACCTTCGACCATCTTCATTTCACAAGAGAAAAGCGATCGCCAGCTTGTAAAGCCGCCATATCTATCCGCATACGAGTCTCACCACCGAGTATTGTAATCATATTTCAAATGGATTTTTTTTCTGCTATCATCATGGTTGGAGTTTGTGTGCGTCTCTTTAGGTAATGATAGAACTTTATTGAGTATTTTGGATATTAACATATGATGTTTAATGAACTTAAACTTGATATATCATATATGTTTCAAATCATTTGGATATTAATGAACTCAATTTTCCTTTAGAATAAAAGAATGCCTAAATTCATATAGATTAGTATATATAGGTTTTTAGAAGTGAAATATCACATTGTATAAGTACTGACAGATATCTTATGCAATACAGTATGTTTGATGGGATTAGACGATTTTGAAAACCTACTGAAACACTTTAAATGTTAACCATCGTTGATTTAGAGTAATTTTAGTTATGTAAATTAATACACAATTTGTCAGCACCGTACGAAAGAAAGAAAGAAGACACCATGCAAAATAATCTCTATATATAACTCGTGGTAATAGCCAAGTGGTAAAAAAAATATTCATGATGTCACAAACCAGTGACATAATTTAAGGATGCTTTTTTATTTTGGACAAAAATTTAACGCTGAATTTATGAAATGTATATGCTGTCTATTGTAATTTCGTCTATAGTCTTCGATCTTTTATTTTTCTGAATAAAAATCTATATATACATTTTTGGAGTATCTTTAGCAAATAAATCCTGAAGTTTCACCTTATTTACGAGTCTATGCCATTGGCATTTATTATTTAGTTTTAGAAAATTTAAATAAAAGATATTAACCAAACGATATCTTGCCTAATTTATTTCTAAAAATCTCTACACAATCTTTCCATAATTTTCAAAAAAGAATTCCGTGAATTTTTCTCCACAAAATATGCATAAAACCGATTTATAGCAACTATTTATATTAATATTTTGCATAACAATAAAACTACTAATTTATTATAATCAAAATATTCACATAGAAAAATCATATAATTTATATGATAAATTTAAAATATATATTAGTAGTATAAATTTAAAATCATTCAAAGAACTGTATACCACAAGTGAGATCCTAAAATTATTGGATTTTATAACAATAATAATTTATTTTCTTGGATTTTATAACTCTAATAACTTAGCTAACGGGATAATATAGACGGGTTTATATGGGATGATGAGTTTGGGTCGATATTAATAAAGAATGATATATCACGGATGAAATCTTAAAATTAAAAATCAAAATACAATTATAGAACCTTAAACACAAAACAAAACATAAAATATTAATAAAACAAATACAACTTAAAATTTTAAAAATTTAGCTATAAAAATATCGATCCACGGTATACCGTAGAGTAAAATATTCAAAATTTTTAAATTGACCATATATCGTTACTTAAAAAAATGTATGTTTTCGTATCTATACTTCAAAAATTGAAACCTAAACAATAGTAATCATACACTAAATAATACATAGATAGATATCTATATTTTAAAATACAAACTAATATGATATATCTTCAGTTATTCTTTTAAAAAATAACATTACATTTTTTAAAAAAATATAGCTCCGCGGTGTACCGCGGTTTAAATTCTAGTAACTAATTAAATACACATTGTAAAGTATATAAATATCAATTTATATTTAAATAATTTCTATAATATTAAAATAAAAATATATATTGCTAAACATGTCATTCTAAACTGTTGTTAAGCCTGTAGGACTAAGTTCATATCCAAATTTGTTACACATAATCTCGACTAGTGTTGGTTGAAGTTCTTAATTATAATCTCATCATCTTGGTATTGAATTTTCAGTTTTACCTCTTTTTTTCTCCAAACGATATTCGTCTAGATTTGTTGATGAAAAAAATGACATGCCACACCTCATTTTGTTTGCGAAAGAACCAAGACCGTAAATACAAAATTGTTCGAAGGTTGAACCATAAAAAAACTGCATGAATATAAATATAAATAAAATATTTAAAATTTGAAAAACAGTATATAAATGATTTATTTTTCCCCCAAATATAATTTGTGTTGAGGTCGGCTTGTGTTGTCCTTTGAGATTCGACTCTTATCATATATATATATATATATATATATATATATATATATATATAATATACCAATGGCCTTTTGTAAAACAAACTCTGGACATGAAAAAGTAATAATGTGATATGCCTCACAAGTGGATCTCATATATGTCTTTATATGATAAAGTACAAGTGGCCCTAGTACTTTGAATCTTTGATTGAGTCGTTATAATTTTGCAACTTGTATTCTGTTATAACTGGGAACAACTAGCCAATTAAATATCAAAACTCCTCTGAGAAAATAGTGAACTTTGGAAACGTCGGCATTATGATCCGAAGTGTTAATTAGATAGGTCCACATTACTGCATAATTGTTTTGATATGAACATACTTTATATAAGAGATATGTAGGAATCTCTCGTATTTATAACGGAAATAGAGGAATTTCGATTCATGATAATCCAAATTCCAAAGGGAGCAATTCCGACTTGTAAATTGATGAGAGTGAAAACACAAAAAATGGAAAAATTATTTTTGATCTCAAAAAATTAGAGTTATAAGATATATATATATATATATATATATATACATTTTAACATTTATATAGAGAGATAGACATTAGACATAACATAATAATAATATAGTTAAGATCTTTCTATAATCACTTGTCGATCTTGGTTCATAATCATGGTCGGTTTATCTCCCAACACTAATAATATGGTAAATCACCAATATCTATCTACTTTTCCTTTTGATCTCTGAACACACGAAATTAGAGTGTAGAAGAAATGAAGGGCTAATAGAGGTTACCTTCTCCGCAAGTTGATGAGTTGAGATAAGATAGCGAACTTGTGCCACGTGGCGGAATCTGTGGTTAAAGAATTCTTCACAAAGCTCTCTAATTTATGGCAAAGTCTGATCATGTGGCCGTGGACGACTAATCCATCTTAAAATGAATAAATTGTGTATATAAAGACAAAAATAAAAAGAGAGAAGTAGTGGCTTTATCAGCTGTATCATCGGCAAAGACATTTTCCAGTGTGAACCGGGCACCAACTCAGGCCATATGGTCGCTCCATTCACCGGCCTCAAGTCTTCGGCCACATTCCCGTGACCCGCAACACCAACTGCGATATCACTTCATTGGCTAGTAACGGTGATAGGTTCCATTGCACGCAAGTCCGTTCTAGACTCCTAGTCGAGATATATAACACTCCCACTAGTATAGTATATCCACATTTCAATATATATTTGTAACCATATAGTTTGAGAGGTAACCAATATATATAGTGAATCAATACAATCACGTGTTTCATATTTATTGGTAGGAAGTGTAAATGGTAATGTAGGTGGATGGGCTATTTTAAAAGTGTGACTAAGATGCAGATGCACAAGCTTTAAAAACTTGTTAATTTTTTGCTTTCATTTGAAAATATATTAGCAAAAAATGATTACAGAAGAAAAATCTTACGACGTAGAACGATTGGGTAGAAGCAGCCCCGGCTCAGATGGGTAGGGCGGAAGTGCGACGGCCCGGGGCTTTTTTTTTTATAAAAAAATTTTACATATAAAAAGGCCCAAATATTTTTTTAAAATATTATTAATATGAGAATTATATTTTAAGAGGCCTAATTATTTATAAGAAAATGTATAAAAAGGCCCAAAATTTTTAAAATAACAATTTTTACTATAAAAACTCCGCAAAATTTTTAAAAATTAAGTAAATTTTCTCTTTGTATATAATAATAGGCCAAAAAAAATTTTTTTGCCCTAAGGCTCTCAAATATATTGAGCCGGGGCTGGGTAGAAGCAAACGTTGACTCACATCGACGAGTAAACGATACAACAGATGAAGCCAATAAATGAGCTTAAGAGATGATAAAGTGACAGTTAGAAAATTTGTTATTTATGCATAAAGCCCCAAATGATATTTTTGTATTTTTTGTTCCTATTGGAAATATACACTTGTATAGGTTATACACAAAAGTACGAGTGTATGACACTCGTAAAGAAGAAGACAGACGAAAACTTGCTTTCTATTAAATTACATGGCTTAAAAAGGTTTAAGTGAGTTTAAACCCGAATTAAAGATAGTTTAGTAAAACTGGTTTTGTATAATTTTCAGATAATTTTATGGTGTGAACCATTTAGATTAATGTACATAATTCCTAATATAATTGAGCCGGCCATGTGTAGGATTACTACCGTACTACGACGGGCGTTACTGGAAATTAACTTATTGTCACATATTGTTTTGTCCGGTAGAAAATTGATATCTTCTGAACCGAACCACAAAAAAAAAAATCAACCCTGGTTCGACTTTTATCAACTCGAGTATACCTAACCAAACTACCTGGCTTCTTATTGACTTGTATCTAATAAACCAAATTTCAGTTCCTTATATGGGAATTGGATTCAAAAGTAATAAACCGGAACCGAAGCAACATTCAGTTGACTTCGACCCGGATATATCTATTATCTAACAATTTAATGTGGGCATAGTGGTCATTATGAAAGGCGTATAATATTTTGGAATCTGGTGTGAATCACTCCTGAAGAATCTTGAGACAAGCCAAGGCAACGGCATCTATAAAAATATAGAAGATAAATATATGCATTTAACAGTATTATTAAAATATGAACATAAGTTTTTATAAACGGACTAACTCACAAATCTAGACGATTGATTTAAAATTAACCCATTGGAGGACAAAGGAAAATTATCTAGAAAGGGAACTATAATCCGATTATTTTTTCATACACAACAAAAAGTTAAGGACTATGAGGAATGATGAGTTAGATTGTGGATGTTCCAAATATCATCGTCCCATACAACATCATTGAACAAGACACCATAGTTTCTTCCCACGAACTCAACGTCCCAAAAAGGCAACCACACAGAGCTCCACGTCATCTCCTCCACCACTCCACCGCCCCAACATTGCTCCTCCTCTTCCGCTGCTGTTGTCGCCGCTGCAGCAACCGCAACCGCCATCGCTGCAGCAGCCAATGAGTGATCATCATCGTCAGTCCCTTCTTCCTCCATATCGTCAGTCCCTTCTTCCTCCATATCTTTTCTCTGTCTCTTCATTTAAAAGAGTTAGTTGTGATTGGTGTGATCTTAAATAATGAAGAGTGAAGTCGAGGTTTATTTATAAAGGAGAGGTTGAGGAAGTAGTTAGTGGAAGAAGACATATATGAGAGTTGGGTTTAGAGAGAGACGTGAAGATTTGTTTTTGAATTCTCTTACCGACATTGGTTTCACGTAAACTCAGTTGCCTTACGTCACACTCACAACATCTGTCTGCTTCCTTGCCCTACGTGTCCTCCTTATTTTCTCCTTTTTTCTCTCCCACTCCCAAATATCTTCTGCAGTTAAACCAAAATATCTGGATATTGTAAAAAAATTATACAAAACTATAAAGTATATTGTTTAAATTTAAATTGTTGTGATTAAATTCATCTTAATGATTAACTGAGGATGATTAGTAGGAGTAATCTAGTTTTGCATAAAGTATAGGGTAAATGTAAAACCAAATAAATAATTATGTGATTTTTGGACGAGAGTCGATGCTTCCAATAAGGCAATAACTTTACCCAGTTCCGACCTCTGCTTCCGATTGACTTTTCTGTTTTGCATTTATTTTTTCATTGAGCTGGTTTCAGTCCGTATAGCCCATATTTTCTTAAGCCCAGTTGGGATTTTCGTATTCTAAAAACTAATTTTCGTATTCTTTAAAACAAAAACTATGTGATTAGTTTTATTAAAAAATGATGATGTTTAATTTATGTACTTATGAAATAAATCTAGCCAACGAATATATTCTATGCAAATGTTATATATTTTTAATATTAATTTAGTTTTTGAAAATTTTGATGATTTGAGAAAAGTATACGAAAGGAAATATATAAGAAGGAGTTGACAAAAAAAAGGAAATATATAAGAAGGCTAAAATAGTAATATGGTAGATATGTATACTAATAAGTTACTGAATTTAAACTACCAAAAAATCAATTAAATATAATATTTAACTGTATATTATAAATTATATATAAAGTTATTGTTTAATTTAAAAATTGGTAATAATTAAATCATGCTTACAACCAAATCTAAACAAAAAATGAACTTCTACTTATATGAGATTAATCGGTTCAGTATAATGTCATACTTTATGTACTTTGGAGTTCTTGAAAAAAGGAAAAATACTCTATTTATTTTTTATTTCGACGTTTGATACAAAAAATTTATTTATTGAAAGAAAAATAATTTATTTAATTATATTTGTAATATCTTAATAATTCACTTGCTAGTTGTTACCACCGGACCTTGCGATTATATTTATAAAATTTTGGATAAAGATTATATAAATCAATTTAAACACATAAAGTTAACATTTAACGCGTTCAATGATTCTTTTAATGGCTGTTAAATCGTGCGCTTGAATCCACCTACAATTCAAAGATAAAGTATTTTTAGACCAAATATATTTAAATGAGGTATTTTCTTCCAATAAAGATATTAAACATCCAAAAATATAGGTGAATATTTTTTCCATTAAAACTTAACAGCGTTTACTTATTCCATAACGCTCGGTAAGTCGCGGATTTGAATCAACCAATAAATTCAGTGATGAAATATTTTTAGAATAAATATAATTAAATGAGTTACTTTTTCAACAAAAAAATTAAAAATGTTCTAAAAAATAGATGGAGTATTTTTCGAGTTTTATCCAAAAAAGAAAACGACTTTTTAAAATCACCAAGTCAGCGAATTATTCGATCAGTAACTTAATTAGTTAATTTGTTATAATTATATTTATTTAAAGAAAAGAGCATGTTGCATGCTTAGGTATACATATATATTAATTTATTTAAATTGAAAGAGAACAAATAATTTGGTTGACAAATAAAATTAATTCAAAAATAAAAGATATTAAAGTAGAGAGATTAAGAGTGTTTTCATCTTGTATATTGATATGCTCAAATTACCTTCGAGCCACTCCCTCAAATAAGAAATCACTATAGCATTTATGGGTCGAATTTTCGCAAAGTTTATTTGTTCACATAATAGATTTTTAATTTTTAAATCAAAGTAAACATGAATTAATTAAAATTAAAACACGAAAAGCAATTAAAACTGGTTGTAAATTCAGACGAGAAAATATTTAGGCTCAAGGAATTTCTTTAAAAAAATCAGAATTGTAGATTAGATAAATTGCTAGGAATTATTAAGAACAATTCTAGAACTCAAATCATAAAAATAAAATCAATCAACTCTCGTTGCAGATATTTACTATGTCTAAAATCTATAATTTTAAATCTCTTTGTAAATTCCTAAAACTAAACAAGCATTAAGAACATGTTTGATTAGTTCACAAAAATCTCTAAACCAAATCTCTTTGAGAATAGTTATTTTTGTTCACCTATGATAGTTTTGGAAAAATCATACTCTCGTGCTAATTAATCCTAAGATCATATTCTAGGCAGCTAATTTAGAATAAGCAATAAGAACAATCCTAGATGAAGAACTCTATTGATTCAACCTAACTATTAAATCAGATTTAACGATTCATCAAAAAGCCTAAAAAAATCCTTAACACTAACAAGCAGACTGTTCAGACTTGATCATAGAAACAAAACACATGTTTGAAAAGAATTGCATAAAAAAATAAATAAGATATTAAGAGTTAAGAAGATCTTCTCTCTACAAGTATTGAATTCTGAATCAAAGCTCTCTCTAATTCTCTCCCAAAAAGTTGAAGTTCAAGAATAGAAAGTAGAATGCAAAATAAGTCTAAACAATGACCCAAAAATCCCTATATAAGCTATCAAAACTTTTTGAGACTTGGTTACAAATAAAGAAGTTTTCTTGGATGATTATGTAATTCTTCAAAACTTGTTAAATTCTCAAGATTTCTCTAAGTCGTGACCGGTGTCGACTGATACCAAAGATGGTGTCGATCGACACTCATACTATGATTTGGCTTCATAATTGTTTTTTCAACCTAAATACTCTATTATTTCTATTCTAGTATCTATCGTGTAGAATCCTGAAAAATCTAGAAAAGATTCAAACCGTAAAACCATTATATATCATATGATATTGTGGAAGAATGTCAAACAGATAGCGAAAATTATATATTTGGTCGACAACCTTTTATAAAATATATGAAAATTATCGTTATATTTTATATTTGTGGATAAATTCAATAAATGATATGAAAATTATAAAACAAAAATTACAAAAATCAAAACTTTTATATTCATTCTTAATTGAAATTTTTTATAATTTATCTCTAAATATATTTATATTTAGATTATAATTTTTATATAAAATTTATCGTAATTTATTAATTATTATAATTAATGAATAATTAAGAATGAATAGAAAATTTTTATAATTTAATTTATCGTTATATTTTATATTTGTGGATAAATTCAAGAAATGATATGAAAATTATAAAACAAAAATCAAAACTTTTATATCCATTCTTAATTGAAAATTATTCCAGAAAGCGAAAAGAAAGCGATGACAAAGGCGACGGCGCTAGGGTTCTAACCCAACCATGCGTTTGACTTCTCCGGCGAAGGTGGATCAAGGCTTCTGGTGGTTAATCGAGATCTCTTCTCGGTATAGCGATGGGAGTTCTCTCTTTGGGGTCCGTTTGATTTCAGCGGATTTTTTGGTTAAAAAGGTGTTCTGCCGTCGTTTTCAATGGGGTCTTAATCAGACCAGGCTGTCGATTATACAGACAACAGAGGTTCAGAGAACCTTGTGGTTCATGGAGGAACCTACAAGGTGGATCGATGGAAGATATTTATTTCGGGTCCGATGGGTCTCTTTGGTTATCGTGGCTGGAAGGGATTTGTCCCGATGGTTTAATGTTAAAAGAGAAAAAAAGATTTGCACACAAAAAGAAAAAAAGAGCGAAAGGGAAAAATCGGTTCGCGGCTTCTGCTTTTGGTACGTTCTCTTAGTTATACGAGTTGAACCAGGAACATAAATTCGTATAAATTGCATATGAGTTTAAGTTCCTGGTTCGATAGGGGCAAGTACTTTATTTTGGTATGCAATTTATATGAATTTATGTTTTTGGTTCAACTTGTACAACTAAGAGGATTTTAAAATTAAAATTATATCTATGAAATTTTAAAAATTAAATCGTAACAAGTGATTTTTAACATTAAAAACTTTAAACTTTAATAATTTATTACATTTTCTATTTTCAAATATAATATATAAATTTTTATAAATTTATTTGATAATAAACTTGTTTTTACACAAATCACTCTTTGTGTAACAAGGAACATTTAGTTCATGATGACCTATATTGATGCAATAAATAGTGAAACTATTATTTCCTCAATATTTTCCTATCAAAACTTCTTAAAAACCGATCTGATGTGAAAATTAATGTGACCAACTAGATTTATATTTTCGATTTCAAGGTTCAACTTCAAAATGACGAAATTTCATTTAGTTCAACTATGAAGGAATCAGGACAACAAGACATCTACATACAACTATGTACAATATCTAGTTGTATGTACAATATCTAGTTGTCAAAGACCCCACAAAAAATAAAATGTTGTAATATTAATTTTTTTAAAGGGTAAAATCGACAATTCAAAATGTTATGTTCGCCCTACTTAAATCTAATCGCTAACAATTTCTTCTAAATCTACCACCACATACGTCCAAAAAAAACGCTCAAACGTGCTAGTTGAGTAAACCGTTACTCTGCCTCGTTATGACAGAGTTAAAAAATAACTCTGTCATAAGGATTAACTCTGTCATGTTACGACAGACTTATTTCGCAAAATCTGTCAAGTAACTCTATATCCCTCATTAAGTGTGCTGCCACTACATGTTACTCTTCCGCATAACTCAATTTTTTTTTTAACTCTGCCACCACATACGTTAAATCTGTCACGGTGCTATTTTAGTAAACGTAAAGTCGTCATAATCTGTCATGTAACTCTGGTTTTTTTTCAACTCTGCCACCACTGTAATTAACTCAATCAAATAACTCTATCGCCTTATTACTCTATCACATAACATATTCAACCTAATAACTCTAACGTGATAATCTACCAAAACCTATTAACTCTATCGTCACTACAACGATAGACTTTTGATGTAGAGGGAAATTTTTCCTCTTAAAACTCACTTTCTCTCTCTGACGTGGCAGCATCTTTTAATGGCAGTTTTGTAATAACTTTTTTCCTACAATAACAATTCAAGGGTTATTTGGCCATTAATGATCAACAAATAGTACAAGCTATATAAGTAATAAACACACTTTTATGTGTTATTTGAGTAACTCACCCTATTTATAAAGTCGAAAATATGTCATTTTTGTTACCAT